CGAAGACGACGCCGAGAAGACGACATTCATGACCCCAGAGGGAATATTTTGCTACCTCGTCATGGCCTTCGGACTCAAAAACTCCGGCGCCACCTATACTAGGATGGTGGCCAAAATCTTCAGAGCGGTCCTTGGCCGGACGATGGAGGCGTACGTCGACGACATGATCGTCAAGAGCAGGCAGGCCACCTCCCACGCCGACGACCTCCGGGAAATCTTTGAAATCATGAAGGAGTTCAGGCTCCGCCTTAACCCCAAAAAGTGCGCCTTCGGCGTCCAGGGCGGCAAGTTCCTTGGCTACATGGTTAGCCGGAGAGGCATCGAGATAAACCCGGAGAAGACGCAGGCTATCATCAACATGGAGCCGCCCCGCAACGTCAAGGAGGTGCAGCGACTGACGGGGCGCGTGGCGGCCTTAAACCGTTTCCTCTCCAGGTCAGCTGAGAGGGCACTCCCCTTCTTCCAGATCATGCGCAAGGCAAACAGCTTCAAGTGGACGACGGAGTGCCAGGAAGCATTCGACGAATTGAAAAAGTACCTGTCGTCCCCACCCGTACTCTCAAGGCCCAAAGCCGGCGAAACCCTCTTCCTGTACTTAGGGGTGAGCACGTCGGCCATCAGCTCCGTGCTCATCCGTGAGGACGAAGGGGTGCAGAAGGCCATCTTCTACATCAGCAAGACACTTAGGGAGGCCGAGCTCAGGTACTCCCCCATTGAGAAGACGGTGCTGGCCATCGTCCACACCGTGAAGAAGCTGGGGCACTATTTCCAAGCCCACACCGTCCATGTGCTGACCCAGCAGCCTCTCGGCGCACTCATGAGGAGCCCCACTAGCTCCTCGAGGATGGTGAAATGGGCGATCTTCCTCAGCCAGTTTCAAATTGAGATCAAGCCAAGGCCATCTATCAAAGGGCAAGCCTTGGCCGACTTCGTCATCGAATGCACAGCAAGGGAGACGGCCGTCGCCAACCCCGGGCCGGAGCCGGACGACACGTGGACCCTGTTCACTGACGGCTTGTCGGCCGCGAAATCATGCGGCGGCGGCGTCGTCCTCATATCCCCTGAAGGATTCAGAGCCTACTATGCCATCCGCTTCAACTTCAGGGTATCCAACAACGAAGCCGAGTATGAGGCCCTCCTCAGCGGTCTCAGACTCGCCGCCGGCCTCAAGGCCAAGCACCTCAGAATCAAGTGCGATTCCAAACTGGTAGTGGGCCAGGTGGAGGGATCGTACGAAGCAAAAGAAGGCCGGATGAAGCAGTACAAACAAGCGACGGAGGAATTGCCGAAAGCGTTTGAAACCCATGAGATCACTCAGATCCCAAGGGCCGAGAACGCCGAAGCCGACATCCTCTCCAAGCTCAGCTCGGACACCCCGGAGCGCATCTCCCAGTTGGCCAAGATCGAGGAGTTGAGCATGTCCAGTATCCATGCCAGCCCCGTCTTGTGCGTCCACCAGCGACCAGAGGACTGGATCTCCGACATCGCCACCTTCATCACAACGGGGGAGTTGCCCCCGGACGAGGAGAGGGCCAAACTCGCCAAACTCAGGGCCCCAAGCTACACCATCGAAGATGGCAAACTCTACAAATGGTCCTACAATGGCACTCTCCTCCGATGCCTGCACCAGGACGAGGCCGATACCGCCATGGAAGAAGTTCATTGTGGCGTCTGCTCCTCGCACCAGGGTCCTTTCAGCATGTCCCGGCGTCTCGTCGTCCAGGGCTTCTTCTGGCCGACGATGGCACGGGACTGCGCTGACCTGGCCAGGAAGTGCACCACATGCCAGGTGCTCCAGAAGGCCCCTGGTCGGCCAGCTGTCAACTATGCCCCTGTCAGCACCGCAATTCCATTCTCCAGATGGGGGATTGACCTGGTCGGCCCCCTGCCCAGAGCCGCCGGTAATAACCGCTACATCATCGTCGCCGTCGACTACTTCACCAAGTGGGTCGAGGCGGAACCCTTGGCCAGCATCACGGGGGCCAGATGCCAAAGATTTGTTTACAAGAACATCATTACACGCTTTGGCGTCCCCCAGGAGATTATATCAGACAACGGCACCCAATTCGAGGCAGCCCCTTTCCAGGAGCTCCTCCGGGAGTTTGGGGTGAGGCACCGTTTCTCCTCCGTTGCCTATCCTCAGGGCAACGGGCAGGTCGAGAACGCCAACAGAACAATCATGGAAGGGTTGAAGAAGAACCTCCAGGCAGCAGGAGGTAGTTGGGTCGACGAGCTCCCCAACATCCTGTGGTGCTACAGGACCACGCCGAGGAGGGCGACAGGTGAAACGCCTTTCGCCCTGTGCTACGGCTTCGAGGCGAAGGCGCCCACGGAGGTAGCCATCCCCAGCCGGCGAGTGGAGCAATATGAGCCTGACACCAACGAAGAGAACATGAAGATTGACCTACACCTGGTTGATGAAAGGCGTGAGCAAGCTTACGTCCGAGCAGAGAACTACCGGCGTCAAGTGAAATCATACTACGACGCCAAGGTACGTTCCCGGGAATTTCAGGTGGGGGACTACGTCCTCCGCCGAAGGGAAGCAAGCCAGCCGACAGAGGGTGGCAAGCTAGCATTGAAGTACGAAGGGCCCTACATCGTCAGTGCCGTGGTCAAACCCGACACCTACAAACTTAAACGACCGAATGGGTCCAGTGTACCACGAACATGGAATGTACATCATCTGGTGAAGTTTTATCAGTAATCCGAAGGAGGTGTAGACGGCGAAGCCCTCACCCCTTAACGGGTTACTGATTGAACGCCACCCTCGGCCTCGAGCCACTTATGAATAAAATCATGTTCTGATTTTTTCTCTGGAAATTAAAGTAAAACATTAGCAGGTGCCCTCGTCGGCCACCTTAGAGCGAAAGGCTCAGGTCTGGCCGACATGGCCCCTTGCATTTGCAGCCTACGAGCGACAAGCTCAGGCACTCCATTGTATTTTGTATCAGCGAAGGGCTCAGGCCTAGCTGAGAGAGCACATCGTCCTGGCCCCGTAAGCCTAGAAGTGAAACGCTCAGGTATGGTCGACGATGTCCCCAGGATGAGGGGCCCGCAAACGGCCCACGTCTTGAAACGGGAAGCTCACCGCGTCGTCCACGCGCCAGATCGCAGGACGACAGGCCTGAAATCATGGCCGAGGTGACAAAATCCCAAAACTCAGGGATGGGCAACGACAGCCGTTGGAAACCGACCAAAAGTCTAGCCCGCGTCATAAATAGGCGACGGGACCCGCCCTGAGACCACGGACGTTATAAACGAAGTCCGAACCGGCCGAAGGACGAGCACACCCTTCGGCCGAAGCCTGAAAGAAGGATACCCCCCGAAACAAAAATATATATATATATATATATATATGAGGGAAAAAGAGGGAAGCCGACGGCCGCGCACACTTGCCGGCCTCGAGCAAGGAAAAAATAAAATCCCCACAAATTCAGGCCCATTTTGGCCAAGTACATATCAGTTAAACACAAGTGTAGTACCACTGACAGGCAACATGGACGACACGTCCACACACCACGAGGGAACAATCAAGGCCGATACACACGCCTATAAAACCCTAACCACATCGGTTGGGTGACACGCGAGAGGTGACCTTCATCGGCCATAGTCCTTTGAGGCACCAACGCTTGGTATGAAACAGCATCGCAAACCGGAGGGTGACCGGGACGAAGCGGGCACTTATCACACCCGCGAAAGGATCAAGTAATCAAAACACGACCTCTACTTGCCATGGAACCATGGCTAGCCGACGAAGGCACTGGAACCGTGGCTAGCCGACGAAGGGAGGACCACCTCCTTGGACAAGCTGTTCCTTATCCAGCACCCTCATCGGCCACAAGCCAGACCTTGGCCGGCAATAGCACCGCAAAGACGTAAACACCTGACATTTCTACTCAGGAAATTATCTAAGTACTCAAACGAAGGAATTCTAGCCGAAGCGGGTACCAGCATACTACGAAGCCGTTAACCACCTACACCTCTACATGTGTACTTGTGAAAAATACAAAATCCACAAGACTATGGTGAAGGTGCCCTTATCGGCCAGAACACAGGGATACAAGCCGACAACGGCCCTGGATAAAACACCTGGGATGAATCCAAGGCCAGGACGATAAGGACGCCAACGCCTGGACGGAACGGACACTGCGATCAGGGCTAAAAAGGGAAGCACCTAAAAGGAATAAAAAACACTTGGGAATTTTTTTGAAAAAATCCTAAGTGTTATGATAGCAAAGGAACACCGGTCAAGCCGACCAGGCCACCAGGCCGAAAGGAAAGCACCTAAGTGGATCCCAAAACACTTAGAAAAATTCTGAAAAATTCCTAAGTGTTATGAAACTACGTCCAAGCCGATCAAGCCACTAGGCCGTGAAGACAGGAGCTACATGGACCCTAAAACACTTGGGAAATTTTTTGAAACGAAATCCCAAGTGTTATGATAGTAAAGCAAAGAGGCATAGGCCGACCAGACTACTGGACGGGAAGGCCAACCTCACGGACGTAGCGGACACTCGCGGGTGACCCAAGTTATGACTTGATACTTAGACAATTTACAGAATTGAAATGACAAAGCAAACAAGCACACAAAGGATTCAAGGCCGAAAAGGACAGCAAAAATTTCTTCAATTGATAAATTACATTACAATTGGGGGGCACTACGGCCATTACATAATTGGGCAACAAATGAAAAGCTAACTACAATAGGGACTAGCCGATCAAGCCTCCGGGGCTGGCTCTTCAACCTCGTCGGCCCCCTCCTCATCGGCCTCAGCTTCCTGGCCGGCAGCGGCGCTGGTGGCATCATCCAAGAAATCGAACTCAGTGTAGTCCGGCTCGCCGAGGCCGGAGCTTTCTATGGGGGACTCCCGCTCCGACAGCGGAAGCGTGGCCTGCCCTTCGGGATCCTTCATCAGCTTTGGGAGCTTCAGGTTCCGTCTAGCCCATCCAGCCGTGTAATTCATGGCCTTCAACGCCCAGGATAGCCGCCGGTACAGGAGCCTTTGCATCCGCTCCTGGCCCAGGTTGTAGTAAACAGACATCTCCTGGCTGAAATACTCCCGGCCGGCAGGGGAGTTCATCCCCCAATTCTCCAGCCTGGCGGCCACCACCTCGTAGCACCAGGGGAGCCTCTCATCGGCCTTCCACCCTTCGGCCAAGAACTTCTCAACAGCCTCATCGGCAGCCCTCACGACGGCGGCCTCGGCCTCAGCTTTCGCCTTGGCGGCCTCCTCGCTCCTGCGCTTCTCGGCCTCAAGCGCTCTACGGGACTCTGCGAGCTCCCTTTTGCTCTCTTCGAGCTGGACCAGGGCAACGTCCCTGGCCGCGACGGCCTCATCAGCTTTGGCCTGCAGCGCCTTGGCATCCTCCCGAAGCCGGTCAAGGCAAGCTACCGCCTCGTCGGCCGAGGCAGCCTTCTGCTCCAGTGCTTGCAGGCGGACTATCTCCCAGTACTGCCTCTTATGGCTTTCCATAAGCATGAAGGCACTCTGCATAAGAAAAACAAAGGTCAGGAAAAAACTCTACATAGACGAAGAGAGACAAGAACATAAAGACAATCACTTACTTGGACGAGGAGATCCATGCCGCCCTCATAAATCTTCGGGTCCTCGAGCTTCTTCAGATGAGCCCGATCTTTGGCCGGCATGGCCTTGGCAAGGACGACGTGGCCGGGGACGAGCTCATTAAACACGCCCCCGCCGACGGGGTACTCTATCACTTTCTGATAGGTGTCACCGGCGATCTCCTTGCCGGCCCTCTTCGTCCGTGGTTCCTGGACGAGAGGCAGCGCTGGGGCGGCATCACCAGCAACAGTAAGGTCCACAACGGGACCACCATCGCCCATGCTGGGGACATCAAGCGTACCGGCCTCACTGGCCGGAGAAGGGGAAGGAACCCTCTTCGTCTTCTTAGAGACGCTCACGCCGGCCTCGGTCAACTTTTTCTGGCCGTCAGTGGCCGGTCTCTTTTTCTTGGATGGGGCAGGCTTTGGGGCCGCATCTGCAGTAGCCCCGCTCCCACCAGCAGCGGCACGCCGGGCCGCTTCGGCCGCCTTAGCAGCAATCTCCTCGGCCGCTTTGGCCTTCGCAATAGCCATCATGGAACGGCGGTCCATGACAAAATCTACAAGGGAAAAACATACACATTAGTAAGGCAAAGGACAAAACATAAAGACAGAAAGCCGAAGAAGGAATTACCATCAGCCTCAGCAGGAATGCCCAAGTCCGGGCCGTCGGCCTCCTCAAAGGTGGTGGTCATCCTCGGCCAGAGTTGGAGGTCATCCTCCTTGTCACCATAGACATAGTACCTCACGAAGCCGAGGGCGGCCATCTTGTACTCAGTGATGTAATCTTTCACGCTCCTCGGCCCCCCCTCCAGGAAAGCCTCCACATGAGCGTCCAAAATAGAGCTCTTCGGCGGATCGTGCAGGTTAAATCTCCCGGTGTGGCCGAGGGAGGGAAACTCGGTGCCACTCTCACCAATGGACACAAACACGAACTTGCTCTTCCACCCATGAATGGACGTAGGCAAATCCGTGAAGCTCCTCTTCTTCGGCAGCTGCTGAAGAGTCGCGTAGGCCGCACAGTTCTTGTGGCTTCCTCGGCCTATCTGGTACAGATTCATAAACAACGCCGTTGTCGGCTTGTAGCCCAACTCCTCACATCAGAGCAAGAACCCCACCATCAAGGAGTAGCTGTTCGGCGTCAGCAAGGCCGGAGGAAGCCCTACCATATCCAAGTACTCAGTAATGAAAGGGTGAAGAGGAAACCTCAACCCCTTAGCAAAACTCATCGGGTATACTCCAAAGTATCCCGGTGGTGGAAGAAGAACATGGTCCGTCGGCTTGGGCGCCCTAACCCGCCCGAATGGCCCCACGTACATCTGGGCAACCAGATAGTCGGCCGCACTGCTCTCCGGCTTTATCAAGTAGATGTTGGTGAGATCCAAGTAGGAGACGTCGGGCCCACTCTTCGGCCTCCTCACTCTTTTCGGCTTGGCGGCTCCCTTAACGGCGGACACCGGCCTCGGGCACGGAATGACAGCAGAAGTGGACGCCCCGTCCACCACTCGGGACGCATCTACGTCCTCACCCTTTGAAGAGGATGCGGACTCCTCGTCCTCGCCCTCCTCGTCCATCAGCTCCGCGGACTTGTATGGACTTAAACGCTCAATCTCCTCCTCAAACTCCTCGAGCACCTCGTAGTCAAGCGACCTCGTGGAGGGCTGGTCGTCGTAGGGGTAGTAGTCGTCGTTCAAGCTCTTCATTACTACTATGGGCTTAAGGAGAACTTACGATCTAAAGGTGTTTAGATGCCTAACACTAGATCAACTACTTACGGAGCAAAATATGAAAAGCGAGGAAGATCGTGATGAACACTAACCTCAAACAATGACGAACACGAAGAACAGGCTTGGGAGTTTCTCTCTAGAAAATCGGCCAGCACTTCGACAAATTCAGAATGCAAACGTGATTTTTCGTCGGAGGGGAAGGGGTATTTATAGACCCCCCCACCAACGGTCACTACACGTGGCACTCTCCCAATGGCCACATCAACGGCCACCACTGGGGGGCCACCACGTCACCAACGGGCCAGGACCAACCCATATCAACGGCCCACTGGCAAATCAGACTCTACGGCCTACACACGCTCAACGGCTTTACAACTGCCAGCAAGCGCCCACAACGTCCCATCTGCTTGCCAATATCACAAATGCCAGACGATAAGTGGACGGCAACGGCCAGGAACGTAACGGCCACAGAACAAAGGGGACAAATAGCCCACAGCCTTCGGCTCCTCGTAATAACCCTTGATGATAACTCTCTACAAGCGATCTGCGCACAAGGGTTCTCCCACAGGGTTACCTTGGCCAGAAAATCGCCATGAGAGTTGGATTCAGGGGGACTACGGCGAGACCGCTTCGGCCAGGGACTCAAGCAACTCCTTCACCCCTCACACTCTTCGGCCTGAAGCAGTGGGGGACTGGGGGACTACACCGGCCTCAACGAAACAAAGAGTATAAACAAGGTAACCACAAAACATGGCCACATCATCCACACAGCACAACGGAACTTCATCGGCCAAAGGCCCATAACGTCACTAAGCAACGGCCAATAAGCCACTAGAGGCGAGGACACTCATCGTCCTCCGCCAACGATTAATCTTGACGGGCTCTTCAGCCAAAAACATGAAGGCCAACCAGCAACGGCCAAAAGGAGTGCGCAAACACCCTCATCGGCCACACAAAGGAAATGAGGCCACCGTCCTCAAAACGAGGAACAACCTCAAACGGCTTCACCGGCCCAAACATAAATTTCAAACCACCAACGGCCAGGAAAGGGAAAGCGCGCCTTCAACGGCCACCGTTGAAAAAAGGACACTCATCGTCCCAAAACAAATAAAGGGAACAACGGCCTCCCCGCCCACAGCGAGGAACAGGATCACCAAAGAGGACACAACGCCAACGCCGCAACGGCTAACGGCCTGGAAATGCCCGCGTCGGCCAAAAACAACAAAGCACAGAAATCTACTCTCCTTCACTTCGTCTACATCTCAGCTTAGAGAGTGGGGGACTCCTGATGGAGTATATGGGTCTGAGCCCCAGGACCCACATACTCGGAAGAGCAGAGCACAAGACAACAGAGTGGCGCCCTCGTCGGCCAAGACGCCCCCGTCGGCCGAGAAGAAGCCAACCCGGATTATGATCCTGAGTCCAAGGAACCCGGGTGCCCTCGTCGGCCGTGCCCTCGTCGGCCGTGCCCTCGTCGGCCACGAGGACCTCCCAGAATCGGATCCTATACTTACTCATTTGTACAGCCCATTAGTGGCTTTGTATTCGGCCCAGTAGCGGTCCAGTTGTAAATGGGCCTCCCAAGCCCAAGGCTTGGGAGCCCAACCCTAATTTTCTCTATAAATACTCCCCTTGGGAGTAGTTATAGGGGTTACAAAATCATTCTATTGAAGCATATTATTGCACTTCTCTCTCTAGCTCTCACTTCTCTCTAGAATCTAGGAGTTTAATACTCCATCAAGTGTTGTTGTATCGCATAGCCTTCGGCTACCATATTCCCTTGGCTGTAATATTGATTGGGCCGGGGGCCCAATCTTTAGGACTTAGAATTTTTTCCAAGTGCTGCTTCCTTGTGTCGCCTTCGGGTGATAGGTGCCCTCTGACTCTACATCACTTTGCGAGATGCCCGGGGGCTACTCATTTAGGACTTAAGAATATTTTTTAAGCGTAAAGTGATGTCGAGCTTCCGTATGTAGAGCCCTCCGGGTATATGAATAGGACCCTTCGGGTGATCGTGGGGCCCTTGAGTTGTATGAGTATTTGATCGAGGGCCAAATATGTGGAACTTAGCAAAATTTCATAGTGTGTCGTAGATGTTGGACCTTCGGTCAGTGAGGAGTCTGTCCGAGGGGCAAATATTTTGGAATAGTCCCCTTGGTTGGCTTTTGAAGATTTGTAAGAGATGCCTTCGGTTGTCTGGTGACATATTAACCTCCGGTTGCTGTCATTTTCCAAAAGTGTGGACTTAGGAAAAGTGTGGAATCCTGTTGTTGTGAAGAAAGCCAATGAGGAGTGTGTGCCCTCGGCATACACTTTGAAAAGTTGTAGACTCTGACTTAGCCAGTTGTGTCCCTTGTAATGGGGTAGGGGCCCTCTGTACTTCGTTTTGTTTGAAGTACTGTTTAGTGGACTTTGGATAGTCCGGTCCCTTTGTATTGTCGAAGCCTTCGGTGCCTGTGTGACCGGAGGTGACCAAGCAGTGGACTTAGCCGTTTTTTGATAATATTCGTTTGAGTAGTATCCTTCGGGAAATAGGAGCCTTCAATTACCGGAGATGTTCCCGTGGGGAGCCCTCGGTATGTTGTGACCTGTTGGAGTGTACTCTTTGATTTCTCGCTGAGTCTACTCCCCTTCACCCCCTCTTTTTTTTTTTGGTTGGTGGTGAAGGGAAGGCATCAAGAAACTTGGTTTCTTGGTAAGGCTGGGCCTATTAGGAGACCATCGGAATACACCAATGGCTCTCCTCCGTCGGGTTAACCTTCCGAGTTCCGAGGGGATCGAGGGTCGTTTCCTGGGCACAAGATATGGTGGTCTGTAACCTGCCTCCCCTTGGGGGATGGCGCGGAAAGCGCCTCATTTTTGAAAGTCGTCCCCTTGGCGCTAGACATAGTCCGTGGCCTGCCACACCCTTGGGGTGGTGGCGCGGGGAGCGTTTCGGTTTGGAAGTCGAATCCTGGGCATTTCTCGTGCCTGTCATACACTTGGGGTGATGACGCGGATAGCGTTCCGTTTTTGAAAGTCGAATCCTGGGCATTTCTCATGCCTGTCATACCCTGGGGGTAGTGACGCGGAAAGCGTTTCAAGGAAGGGTTTTCATTTGCACACTAGTTGCAAATGGCCGGGGGCACTACGTGCCGCCGGCACCGATGGTGGCGCCTTCGGTATATGCGTCCTCGTGGGGTACGGCTTTTAGAAACAACACTTGGTGTTAGTTTCGATGTGTAGCCCCCGGTACTTGGTACCGAGGGGTCTTCTGTAGGACCACTTGGTGTTCTCTTTTGTTGTAGTTGATGGAGGTGTCTTCCCTCGGTACTTGGTACCGAAGGGTCTTCAAATGAAACACTTGGTGTTTTGATTGGAGTGTTTGGTGCCGGAGGGCCCTCGGAGGAAACACTTGGTGTTTCCCAACAGATGTTTGGAAGTTGATAGGAGAGCATATCCCTGGCACTGGGTGCCGAGGGGTCTTGTGTGAAACATTTGGTGTTTTTCTTCGTTTTGATGTTGATGATGGAGGTGTACCCTCGGCACTGGGTGCCGAAGGGTCTTCTGTAGGAACACTTGGTGTTCTTATCTTTTCTTTTTTGATGTTGAAGGTGGGGATGTGCCCTCGGCACTGGGTGCCGAAGGGAAATAAAACACATGGCGTTCCTTGCCGTTGGTGACGGGAGTCCCCACCCTCGGTACTTGGTACCGAGGGGTCTTGTAAACACATGGTGTTCTCCTGTTGTTGTAGGTGTTGATGGTGTCCGCCCTCGGCACTTGGTGCCGGAGGGGGTTCTTCTCGTGGTGAGGCCTGGGGCCTGTAGTCAGTATGAGGGTGTGGTGTCTTGAATGTGTCTTCATTCCTCAAAAGTGGAGGCCTTGGGCCATAGGATAGTACATTCATGAGTTATGAGCGCTTGGC